AGGAGTATCTGGAAAGGCATCTGGTGAATGTCAAGAGGTACTTCAAAACAAGAAACTGCAGTAATTAAAAGTAATGTATCAGAGATCCAGAAGATAAAAATGCGGGCTAGCTTTAGAATTAAAAGAAACTAAACTAAAAATCGACTTAAAGGAGTTCCTGTCCTCTAGCAGAACTGCCAAAGTATTGAACTGATTTTCGTAAATTTACGTGCCGTATTTTAAGAAATGTTCAAGAATTTAAAAAAACGTTTAATATTAAAATCATTACGCATCTTTTTCGAACACGTAGTATGCATTGCACAATGTTTTCATAACCCAGGCAAACAGCTGGACGCATGGTTGGGTTTCGTCCTTTTCCCCATGCGTAATGTGAATATGAGCCAGTTTGTCTTAGAAAGTCTTCCATGAAGGCATCCTTTCCCTTAGGGAAATATCCCATGTGTGCTTTGCCACATTCAAATAACAAACGAACTTATCATTTAAATTATTAATTCTAGTCTAGGCTAATTTTTCCTTTCGACCAAGTTATGGGTTCAAATAACTTTCACCGCTTTGGGGAAAACTTTTAAATTGTAATGAATGAAAACTAATGTATGTAAGCAAACTGTAATTTAAATATTATCGGAGAAAGAGAATTCGTCTTCATTCATAATATTTAAATTTCAGACTAGTAGACAGTAGTAACAGAAACCTGAAAACTTAGCTAATATTGGAATGCGGCTTTTGCGAGAAGTACCGAACTTGTTCGAAGTTAACTTTTTGAATGAATGTTTACAGTCTTCGATTAAAGAAAGGGAGAAATAAGTTCATTGTACATATACTTAGTTTAAAAATGAGAACCAGTAACAGAATCTGTTTATTAGGTGGTTCTTCGTTCAAATGATGTATTCTGATCTTGCTCAATTGCTGTTATAGCTTCAACTATTACTAGTCTTTAATAGGTTCCAGATTTATCTTGTGTTTTATGTTGCACCGCAAAGATAAGGTTTTAGTAAAAGTTTTAATTCGTTGAATATTAGTTCATACAGCAAATTTAAACTGTATTATTATTTCATCCTTTTAATATTATAATAGATAAAATTATATAAAGCTTCAAATAAAGACTTCTCGTAAACAATTTTAAGTAACCACAAAATTTTGATCACTGCTCGTTATTTCAGATGTGCCATTTTTATTTTGGAAATTATATTTTTTTCTCATCTAATTTAGGTCAGCTTCTCTGCCGCTGAAATCATCTTCCATTGCATTACAGGACACGGGATGTATGACAAGTAGCAATCATTTCGTACTTCTCGTGCTTTAAAGTAGTTTACGGATTTATAAAATTCAAAGGTGGAATTAAATTGTCTTCTGTTTCGTAAGTCGCCTCTGGGTACCAAAGGTAGTAAATAAATAAATGACTCTAATATCCAGGTTCGGATTTATGCGGTTGTGCATGTTGCAATCACAAGTGGCCTCATATTCTAAACAGCCCCAAATCATTAATTAATTTTGAAAAAAATAGACATCATTTCCGGAGTCTCGTGCCTTCCAAATGAGGTGGGATTCCCTTTTTATACATTCGCCTTTACTCATATTTCGAAATAAAATATCCTTTCATTCATGCTAATGGAGAAGATATTTAAAAATTCACTGTTATTAGTCTAGAAAACATCGATTTTGCATTTTAGGCCCAAGATAAAAGATGCCAAATTTAACCTTTATGTTAAAATATGCTGTAATATGATACAAAGAACTATGAGATAAATAAAAAGATGTTTTAATAATATAATCTTTCATTTAAAATGCAGAATAAATTAGTGTTTGAAGGATTTACAAAGTATGTCTCTTGTTTTCTATACATTGCTTCTCTATTCAATGATTTTTTTTGGGGGGGGAAGGCTAAAAATTCCCCCCTTGCTTTTTCCCTACCTATCTTGGTCTATCACACTGAAACATACACAAAATTGTTCGCAAAACCATTTGCCTGATTCAGGTGGCCTAGCAAAAGCATTTTTCGGGAAGAAAAGTGAGATGCCGATTCCCTAGCCTTCAAAGTGAAATTTTAATATTCACTGCGTCCTATTTTTTAAAAAGAATAATAATTTTTCTTAATTTTATTTTAACAAGTTTGATAACCATAAGCAAGCCTTTATAAGTATTATATGTCAGCTGCCACTCTTCAGGAACAAATAGAAGGAATGCCTTTAATTCTTTACAAGACGATTTAAGGATGAATGATCATCTTTACATACGCTTCGATTTAGCCATAAACAATATTCTATAAATCCATAATTTTCGGGGAAAGGGATGGTTCATGTTGTGTGCTTAAGTTCATTTTATAATTAGCGGATATAAAAATCCATAGTAGAATTATGGCAATTTCTTTTTGGTTTTAATTTGGTCTTAATTTGAAACCATTCGATATACTTTTGTGCCGTTCAAAACTAATCGGTATTCATTTCGTAGTTTAACACTCTGCCGTACTACGTACCTGTCTCCTCAACTAGCGATTGTAATGACCGATAGAGGACTTCAAAATCGTCTGCGTTGTCGGATAGAACTGAGCTGAGAGTTGTTTATATTGTTAACTGTTGTCTTAAGTAGCATAATGAAAAAAGACTGCTGGTTTAAACAAACTTGAGAAAGTGCTGTTTAAAATTTTATATCACTATACTTCTTGTATATTTCAGGTAGTGAATTTTCTACATAGATCTCGAGTATAATATTTCATACAATAAAGCATTATTTAATAGTGCTAAATATCTCAGTGATAGGCTTTAATGATGCATATTATATGCCTGCTTATTATTTTAATTTGGAACATGACTGTAATTCTTAGTTATCCTCACAGTTATTGGGACAGTTAAAAGCACTCAAACTCTCCTTAGCAAAAAGTAATAAAGATACTATACGAGGAATGACATTGATTTAATGCATCGAATTATTAAAATTTATGTGATAGAGCAACTGAGGCTCTAACGGAGATAAAGTAGTAGAGACCAGAGATAGACGATTATGTTACAAGGTTTATAACAAAATTGCTTTCGAAACAATTAGTATTATTCAATTAGATTCAGAGGATATACATTTATGATACAATATTTTTTGCTTTTCTTGCATTGCATTATACTTTGTAACCGTCCATCGTGACAACATTTCATTAACAAAACACCGACAGGCGTCTCTCTAGTGAGTGACATTTCAAAACAAATAATCAACTCCGAGTTTTATACTCATATTTCAGATGTAGAAAAGGTTATAACGCCTGTTTCTAGAAAGGACAAATTTTCCTTTTCATTCGGTTTTCTTATGAAGAGCGGCTGTTGGCGTATTTTCCAATAGAATGTTACATTTTCCAATAGAATGTCCAATGAATAGAACAGCTATTAACAACACGTTCTTTGGATACAAAATATTTATTTGAAATTTAGGACGAATAATTTCCGTTTTTCTAAGAAGATCACATTAATGTCTAATAACGTTTATCACGTTAATAGTCCTTTATGTCTGCTGCTGTTAAGTAGCCCTGTTTTGAAATAACAAAGGAAACAGTAGTTGTAGCCGTAAAATAACTAAGTGCAGTAATATAATTGATCAATATGTCGCTTTCTTGGCATGGTGGTAGAGCTGCTATAGCCTTGGGTTCGGGTTCGAAACCTGGAGAAGGCGTGAATGTTAGCAAGTGTACAATGTCTTTGCGGCATCCGGCACTCAAATATGATCGATCCGAAAGTCCTCTCGAGAGGCTGATGACGGAGGAAGAGAGGTGAGAGACACTCGTACTTAAATAATGTGCAGGTTATGACAGGTTTTGCTTATTTACGATTTTAAAATTTAACAAATTGAAAATAATAAAAAGTAAACTGTTTATCAGATACCATTTAAACTGACCGATGTAGTAAAACTAGATATACTTTCAAATCTGCTAATGCCAGTGTTAATAATATAATACATTGAGGATTTTGAGGTACAATGAGGTCTGTTAGGTATATGGAGAATCCTGAGAGTAAAAATATGTGCAAATGATAAATACAATAAACGTGAAAATAAGAGCGAATGTAAGACTAAACAGCTCTTTTCTTCCATAATGTAATATTCTCTCTTCCTCCTTAGCTTCTTGCAGAGAGTCAACATTTATTTCATCCAGATTTTTCATTTGGTATTATATAAAAGATGATTAAAAAATATCTGGCAGAAATGTATCGCGAGGTAGAAGAGACGGAAATAAGATTTTGTAATGGACTAGGTGTGCGAAAATGGAGTTTTTAAGGGGTACAGAGTGCTGTTGAGCGGTATATAAAGGCGTTCTGCGGATGTAAATCGTCACTCTTGGTGTGAATTTCTAGAGGTATGCATCACTACTCGAACGCAGAATTCATCGATATGCATTTTATCTATGACGTCACGGATGGAAACAATGAGGTTGCTTTGCTTTACTTTAACCATCGACTTGGGCAGATGATCCACTGTGCATATCAACCCGAATGGTCCAGTTGATGACCTTATCTAGATTTTGTCTAACAGTGCAACACATTGCCCATACAGCACATTACATTAATTATACAGGGGGCGGCAACGTTTATAGCGTAATTTGACTTGCGTAGCACAATAACGTACTGCATGAATAGGCGCCAGCTTGTGCCGCATCCGTGTACTAATGAGCTGCCATTTCGAGTGTGACAGTGATATGGATCGTTGGAGTGCACAGCATCGTGCCTTTGCTGTTGAAAGTTATTTCAAGAATAACTACTCTGTTATTGCTACCCAGTGTCTACTCTCTAATTAATACTGCATTTGTGCTTAATTATAATTTTTGGTTATGAGTAAATTAGATTTTTACTTGTTAACTAGCAGTTATTAAATTAACTTACGTTTTCTTCAATTAATACGTAGCTACATAGGCACTTCTGATGAGAAGATAAAAATTCCATTATATAATGGCTTGCACTTTAAGTTGTTATTTTTTTTTTCAAGTTTCTGTGTTAATTATCATTCTTAATTTGATTATTTGTTTCTAGGATCTCTGATTTTGGCTTCATTTTCCATTCCAGTAAAAGTATGGCTTCCCAAGACATAGAACTGACCATAGGTGATGAACAGAAAAACCTATTTACAGGGGAACCTCATCGAGCTGGTTTAGTGTACAATGGAACCGATGCAAATGACATCGAAGACAAACATGCGACGAATTCAGAGGGGTATGGTATTTCATTTGCTACTGCAAAATGTGAATTGCTTCCCAAAATAGTAAAGAGTAGTAAAACATTAGACAACATATTTCTTTTTTTAATTCTATGATGTTTTGAAACCGCAGTAGACACCGCTTAATGAGATCGCACATAATGTTACCATTCGGATATTGTAATTCTCTTCTGTGTAACATTTATAGATATTCTTTACACGCAAATTCTTTTATCTGTGTCCCAGGACTTAACAGATAACCAAAGTTATATCGAATTTTTTAAAGCAAACTTGGAAAGGAAACAAAATCAGTTGAAATAATATTATTATCTACTTCCTTTCATTGCTATGGTCTATCTATTCATTGATTAATTTTTTGTTTAATCAAATGCAGCAAAGCACCTGACAGCTCTCTGCATTGAAGAAGGGATGCCTTCGTACTTAGTTTTTCTTACTGACAGTTCTACACTATTTCTTTTCCTGTTACACATAAGACAGGTTTACTGATCCGTGACATTTCTTAAGCACCTTTCAATGGGCAGGTCATAGAAAACTCGTGACAAAACCTTTTGTTTTCTCGCTTGAGAGTTCCTTACTTCCAAGAAGCCGCTGAAGGAAACATGAACCTCTTGAGCTAGTTGTCACATATCATGTTTTATGAGCTCTTGAGGAAGAAGAAAAAAAATGTAACTTTTATTACTATGTATCGATGTGCAACCTTGTAGAGACATTAGGTTATTTGGAAGCATGAGACATGAAATATGTGCAGTGTCTCGCCGGGACTCGAACCTCTCAAATACGGGCCGAGCGTGCTGATCCTTACACCACGAAGGCGAGAGAAATACCTTATATATTCCCCCTTTTAAAAGGCGACTGGGGATTAGGGCAGCCAATCGCCACATTCTGGTGGAGAATCATCACCAACGTTATTTTAGCTCGGGCGAGAAATGAGAATAAGCGTGCTGAACAAAAGGCTTTCGAAGCATGGAAGACATGAAAACTCAGAGTCCCTGTGCCCAAGATGTTCTAATGAGTGGTTAGCACATAAAAAAGTAAATAAAGAGTGCTGAGAATTCCAAGATCTAACCTCGAAAGAAAAAAGGGGCTTATAGAAAAAATTTTTCGAAATGGCTGGCTGATATTATTTTAAGGATTTTAAACCATATTAGAAATATTTAAATTTTCATCAGTCAATTATTTTGAGGTGTTAAAATTAAAAAAAATTGTTAATTAGTTTTTATTAAATAGTGAAAAAATTAAAAAAAAAATATTTTTGACCAAGATTGGATATTGAGTATTGAGTTTAACATGGAAAACTAATTTCAAAGTGGTGACCATGCACGTGTTCATATGTAATATAAGCCTGCGTTCCACACTGTGTACCTGTTTGTTTATACAATGCTGAGCATATGGTGCAGTTGTTTTTTAAATTTAAACACCTTTTTCTTTTTTTTCTTTCTCTTCCTTTCTCTATATGTTCTATTCAAATTTCAATCAGTTGAAACTAGAAACAAAAATCCTAGTTAAAAATATTTTTAGAAAATCTTGCCTAAAACATTTAGAGTTCTATGTAACATAAATATGTTTAACAAAACGAGATATAAATTACCGCTCATATTAACAATGGAAACTTTTTTTCGATGAATGAAATGAAATTAAAATCAAGAAGTTTAACTTTTTAGTTTTTATACTTTGCATTAGAAAGTTACTACCTAAAATAACTGTAGCACGAAATCAGATGATTCTGATGAAATATTAGAAATACGCACCCTTTAAACTTGTAAAACATTATAAAGTATTTTCTTTGAAAAGGGAAAGTATTTTCCGTTCTTTTAGCTGCAGAAATATACTTGAAAAATTTAATTTAAGTAGATTAACAAAACAATATTTTAAAACAATTAGCTTTTGATTTGTCAGATAAAATACTTACAAGAAACTATTTTTGTAGCATAGTATCAAAGTATAGAACGTCAAACAGTTCCACGTTATTCAGTTTTATTTAATAAAAATGCAAATTACGTAACTAAAGCTAATTTCAATATTCTTTAAAACATATTTTTAATTAATGACTAGAGCCAAAATGCAGTATTCTTATGGAGATGAGTAAATGACTCAGAAAACTTGACTTTAGTTAACTAAGACAGAAATGTGAAAAAAAATAATTTCAGCGTGATTCGAAAAAATTTCGATGTGTCCAGTATTATGAGTTGAAGAAATTCGACTTATAGGAAAGACGTAACAGTAATTTTTAATAAATTGTGATCTGAGGGAAACATCTGTATTAACTTACCGAAAATTTCAAATGATTGTAGTTCGAATAATCAGAACTCTATTGTATACTATGTATGTCTGTAACCTCAGAACGTTGAAATTTTGTATATAGGACTGCTGTAACATGTAGATGTACACCTCGTATTTTGGTTGCAATCGGCCGCACCAAAAAGTATGTAAACCACTCTGTTGCTCGGCTCAGTGATCTCAGTTTCTTTACTCTTATATGCTTGTAAATTGTGCATTTTTTGCCTTAAAAATGATTGAATTATGTTGTTCTTATCTTCCGGTTAAGGTTTTTATGCCTTTAGTAAATCTGTATGCGATATTTTTAGAATTATCAACAATTTAAAAGTTGCTTAAGTGGCGCTAAGCCTAATATTTTTTTCCATGGCGGCAATTGCTTGTTTACATTTGAAACAGCAGAATAGTAGATTTGTTGCCAATCTAGAGAAAGTAAGCTTCGGAATAACAAAGATAACGGCTTCTTTTATTATTGCGAATTAAATCATGCTTAATCCATTCTGGAATTTATTCGAGGAAATAAGTGCTTAAGATTTACTTCATAATTTTCGATACAGACATCTTAATGTATTTTTGCCTTGTCGCGAAGTAAGAACTGAATTAATTGAATGAGAAATACTGAATCGTCTGTGAAAAACCTTTTTTTTGTTTGTTTTTGTTTTGGTGTTTGTTTGCTTAATTTCTTTTATACATCTTTTAGATTTATTATAGTATTTGAATAGAAGTGGCAACGATTAGATAATTCTTAAGATGATATAAATTTTGTGCACTTTGAGTCACAAAATGAATGAAATGTAACGCTGTAAAGTGAACCTAGGGCCAGAGTGTCGCTATGGTAAACAAATATAGAGAATTTTAAAGAGTGTATTTATTTTATTGTGATTTATTCGCTATGGACGAAGTAGATTTAATTCAATCCAATAAATTTAAATGAAATCCAAGAAAAATGGGTATAATTTAATATTCCGTACAAGGAAGCCATGTGGTGCACACATCAGATTTTTTATTTTTCATACTAACATTCCTTTCGTGAGCGTTTAGTTTTTTATGACGACATATGCAATATCCACAGCTTAGATATATAGGTATATCTAAGAATTTTGAGCGCCCACCAGCGGCCGAGCGGTAAAGTCGCTGAACACTGGTAGTTCGGTCCGAGGTTCGAATCCCGCGAACGGGCTGGCTGCATGGGTGTTTTCGTGGTTTTCCCCATGTGTAACATGTATACGAGCCAGTTTTCCTTAGAAAGTCCTCCACGAAAGGCATCCCTCCCTTTAGGCAGATAGCCCTAGTGTGCTTTGCCATAATTAAATACACCACACCACCTAAGATTTTTGATTGAAAAATAAAGTATTCTAATCTAGATTCTAGAGTCAGGAAGTAGCTTTGATTTAATTGTGTGATCTTTTGGCTTATTGAGGAGAAGCGGTGGAAATAGCTTTAGAGAGCTTTTGAATAAATTCAGCGAAGGTTTCTCTGCTTTTTAGTGAGGTGGTACGTGATTAAATATTTTAGATCGATTTGCGCCAGTTGGAGAATCTTTTCGGTTATAGGTTAATGAATGTGCTGTTGCTATTAATTAGAATTTGGAAATTATCCGAGATTTGAATTTTAACGGAGGCTTTATTAACAGAGAATTTGGCTGATTTCTAAAAGCTAAAAAAATCTGTCTTTATTGTTTTTTTAATATGATAGGTCAGATTATTCTTTCCAAGCATTTTTTGGTAGAATTTATAGTCATATATTAGCCGAAGAACATATAAAGGATATTCGTAAAGGAAGATTGCACTTTTCCTGAAGCATAGCTATCCTAACGTAAGTTTAGGCTCCTTTACTAAGTAGTGGTCTGTATTATAGTCTTTGGTTCAGCATGGTTGATTTTCCCAAATAACTCACTGCTACATCTTTAAGGCATTTTCAGGAGTATTCCCTTCTTAATTTTAAAAAAATGTCACAATCGGAGGAAGGATTATCTTTATCATGCCTATTGAGAAGAATATCGGCCTAGAAATGCTAGTTTTGGCAATACATCCGCACATCAGAGTTTCAAAATCATAGCCTGTCTCTCTTCTACGAAAATAGAAGGCCGAAACCTTTAAACGCAATTATTTCATAGATTTGAAGTATAATAACAAGTTAGTTAATAAATAGCTAAATATAAAGCTTATATGTAAATAATAATATAAATAATAATATAAATATAAGTAATAATATTAATATAAATGTAATTTAAGCTAAATATGCCCTTTGTGTAAGTTAGCCTTCGCAAAATTTTGTCAGTCCAATCTGCGGGTCTAATTGGGGGTTGAGTGCGGAACTCTTTTATGTGAACTTACTACATGAAGTCTAACGGTTCCTTCTTTATGAAATGGTATAGTAGGCACTAAAATGCGTTGATTCGAAAACCTCTGACAAAGTTGATGACAAGAAAAAAGGGGTATAAAAATCTTTGAATTCTGTTCCTCAAAATGCACTCAATCGAACTGAGAAGGGGTTTCGGCATATAGCTCTCGAGTGCTTTTCCTTACCTAAACAATCCAATTAATTTCTTTTTCATTCTTTTCAATAGCTTATATACATCCTTTCCTTTCAATGATTCTGATCCAGCCAGTAACAGCATCTTTATAATTGATACAGATTATCATTATTGCTGAAAAAATGAAACGTCTAAACCACGCTTGCGAGTTGTTGAATGCATGCGTATTGACAATTCTCACATAAATATATACAGTCACAGATATTGAAAACACATCTGCTCATTACATTTAAAAAATTTATTGTGAATGTTTTTCCGCAAATTTTTAATTAAATACCTTTGTCATGAGAGGAGTATCAAATGAAATTTTTGGGAAAGTTTGCAAATGCATTCTAAATTGAAGGGGGGAGGGAGAAATCCAAATAAATGCGATGATTAAAACTGTGTGTTCAGATACATTGCTTGCTGAACAAATGGATCATTCTTTCATATTTTAAGATTTATTAAAAAATACATCGAAATAAGATGCAAATTTTTGATTCCGTCTATTTCATGGTTTCAAATTGATCTTTCCGGATGCCAGTGAAAATTCTAAGATCAGTTTTCACAACATATTCTGAAATCGTTCCGTTTTTCACTCATGGGATTGAAAAATTGGGGAGTGTCTGAAGCCATATAACGCTGATAGTTCGAGTTCTGTTCCCCAAAAGTTGTGTGTACACGTGAGTAAGTAAGCTGCTAAAATCTTTTCAGAAGTTCGCTTAAGCAGGTAACTGTTGTGTTCTTTGTAGAATTAAAACAACCAACTTCAGTCTTGATGCATTAACAAACTATTTTCTATACCCTTTTTTAATCAATTTCTTTCTTTTCTTAGGACCAAAACAGATGGGACGTTACATGCACTAAGTGCACTATATGCTCAAATTATAGTAGTCGTGGCAGCGATTTTAGTTTTTACAGAGCTGTTACATGGACCGGTTCCTTTATTCTTTTTTCATGTAAGTATCTTTATTTGTATTACCCTTAACTTCTGATAAAATGGAATTTAAATTGTTTATTAGTAACGTTACTTCTTTTTTTTATTGAATTATTCTTCGCTGAAGTTTCATTAGCATGTTAAAGTAATTCTGTTGTGAAAATTAAGATAAAATAAGTGGCAATAAGAGAGCTCCATTCGAGCACTGGTTTTCAAGCTAATACTTCTCAGTCGAGTGCTAAAGTTGCTATTTTCTTCACATAAATAAATAGCAGCTTTTAAGGGAAGCAAGATGAACAAATAAAAATGAACTAAACCGTTATTCGGGAAGAGGAGAGATTCCATAGAAAATTCTTCAGAGTTACTTTCAACCAAGACCAATTCTAGTTACTTTATTATGAAATTAATTTAAATCACTGTTTCCATATTTTCCCATTTTTTCTTTAAATTCAAGTTTGTTCTTCTAGCTTACTTATAACTGTTTAAATACATTAAACTTTTGAGAAGACTGCCATCTAATGAATATTATAAAATACGAAATATTTCAGCACCTTTAAAAAATTCCTAATTAAAAAAATAGCGTTAAGATTCTTCAGATGCTTTAAATAAATATCTTTCTCTAATTGCTTAAAAACTATACATGACTAAAATCTGCAGTCCTTGGCAAATGCTTCAGATTTATGACATCTTCAAGCTCCCCAAATGTTTATTAAGTAAATTCTGCAAACTTATTATCTCTTCTTTAAATTTTTTGGATTATGTTCCGCAAAAGCAATTCATTCAGTACCTATAGCTCCTATCTTTATTTTAAGCTGTAACAATACCGGAAACATATAGTGTTACTACCGACGCTTTGTAACATTATTTTAAAGAATTTTAGCGTTAAAGTAATACCGCATGTATTACTTTGTTTACTTACTACCCATGTTTTACAACATTCGTAGCAATACTGCATATGTTTCTGGCAGAATTACAGCTTATAAATAAACATATATTACATAGCATCTCAAACTACAGACAATTTACAAGCGTATCGTAAAGGTGCATATTTTTCGGATGAGAATCTCGAGTTTAGATTGTTTCCTATGTTTTTTCTACTTGCTCTTATTTATTCTCAATATCTGAAACCCAAGTTCCGATTTAATGTCTTTTTCTTCCTGCAGGGATATCTTTTTACGTACCTTGTTGGTGGAGCGATTCTGTGTTTCATTGGGGCATATGTGAATATGTTAACGAGCAAATTGCCACGTTGGGCTAACAAGAACTATGACGGAAGGAATGAAAAGTCTTTGTTTTCAACGCATTTCATGAAAAATTTATTTTTTGCTGACATTAGTATATATCTCAGAATCGGATCCGTTGGTATGAATCTTAATTGTTAAAAATATTTAAAACAAATCATTTAACAACTTGCTTATCAACATTTCATGTACTAATAATAATTACATTTTTTTCCTGTTTTATATGTTTCAATGTATATTCAAAATTGATTTTTAATGGCGGTGTTGATTAATTCTTTCAAGTTTTCGGCTTGGGAACTCTCATATCTAGTGGATTAGAAGTTGCATCTGTGTTTACTGTACCTAGTGAATGCATGGACGAATTAAATTTGCTGCAGCCGGTATTGCGAGGGCTATTCAGTTTTCTTCAGATGCATTTTCTTTTCATGAATACCAAAGTAAGTATACGGCTTTAATATGAATGAATGTCAGATATCTCGTGAACTTTTATATGCTTTACTTCACTCAACTCAAGATTTATGTAATTTTTGTGATAAAATCAGTATTATGTATAGATATCGAAGATTAAATAACATGACACTTCTACGCATTATTGGAGATTTCTGAAACTTTGAATTTCTTTAAGGAACGACAGAGTTAATAAATTAATTTTCTAATGATGTCCCTGATTCTTTAAGGTCGAAATAAACATAATGCTTAGCTTTACGTCGACTAAAATTTAGAAAATGTAAAAGGGTACGAAAATGTATTTAGCAATAGGCTACACAATGTGTTGAGCATCTGATAATAAAATAAACATCAGACTTCTATCCAGACCAAATTTGTAATGAAAACAAATAAAGGATACATTAACAATAAAGTTAATTTGAAGTCAAAATACAAAAGCAGAATCATGAGTAATCTATTTCTAATTGTTTTTAATATTAGTACCTCTGAGTCTGCATGAATTGAATATATCTTATTTTTGAATATCTCATTTATTTGAAACAGTTTATTGTTGTATTGAAAACTACTTATGGGAACTAAATGCTCTTTCAATGTTTAACGTATCTATGTGGAGACCGCATCAGCATAAATTATAATAATGCATGTACTACAACTCATCATGCAGAAGTACACACACACACAAAAAAAAAAAAAAAAAATGAACAAGGAAAAGTCTGATATACGTGTAAATTTAAGAATACTTACGCAGTGTATAGTGTCTCACAAATTTCAGATGGATTGTTTCTTAATTCATTTACTGCTTTCAGGATACTGGCGCTGTGAGTTTTTCTCGTTGAAAATATATGACTATTACAAGCATATAGAGCAATCTTAGGGAAACCTCCAATAATCAATAGATTTTGAGTTTATTATCTTTCTGCGGAAATAGCTGAAGTTTCTTCCTTCAACGCAATACTGTTCGTACGCAGCGCAATTCAATTACTGTTTCATGTTTTCAATAGCCTTTATGTTTGAAAATGAAAGTTGTGTTCCTACACTAAATTACCTCATTAAATAAGAGTTATGTTTACGTTACTCGGAGAAGAGCACTCACCCTTAACGATGTAACGAATTCCCTCGCAGATGTTCGTTCTTTCATCATCAACTTGGTCATAACATATTAACTGGCATGTCTTCAAATGTTAAACCTTATGGCTCTAGGATAAGTGTCTTCCAAACAACAAGCCTATTAGGTAATTAAAAAAAATTGTAACTTCATTCCTTCGTCGGTATGTTTCCATTGGAACTTAATCAATTAAGTGTTTCTAAAAGATGTAGCGTTTTTCTTGTATTTATACTATATCTTCTTCAATACTTACAAAGAAGCTAAAAAAGACGCTAAATAATCACACTTATTATAGATAATTTTGTTTTTATTTTTCACATTGAGCATAAAATTGTCCTGAATAAATGGGGGAGCGAAGGAATATACATGGAGCAAGATTTCACAATTTTTACAAAACTGATTTTTTTTAAAAAATTGCGAACTCCAAAACATGAATATTTGCGTGTTAGTAAGTATATATTTACGACTAACGGTTGCGAAAATAAAGGCGAGATAAGGACTTTTAGACATATTGTATATTGTTTTTGTAAAATAGGTAATATCAAAATATGAAATAGTGAGTTTTCAAACCAGGCTGATTTTCTGATACTTCCGTGTTAATATTAAGAGCGCGGAAATTAAGATTGATCCGGAAATTAAGGATAAATTAAGAGCTTGATTTTAATATTTTTATCAAAGAAGGATACTTAATTTATTACGCTACTTATTATAATTTACATATTATGTACATTTCGAATTTTTTTTAAAATGTAGGATGTATAAAGATTTTGGTTGCTTTTGAATAAAATTTGATTAATAATAATAATGCATTTAAAACCGATGAAAGTAAATTATTAAAATGGGGAAAAGATAAATATAATTTTATACGAGGATTGGCGTCCAAAGGTTCTGAACCAGGAATCTGAAAATCTTTTATTTATTTATTTATTTACTGTGTTTCAACTTAGCTTAAACAGTATAATCTTTATCGGGCATATAAAATTTTTATAGCCTTAAATATAGCCATTTGATCGTAAATTCGAATATTTTTACAAAACGTAATCAATAATAGTTGCAGTAAAATTATAAGCAAAAGCATAGAACTGTAAAAATATAAAACAAACGAAAACTACATTACTATCTGTGGGTGAGTGTTTTTGAGTTTCTTCTAGTTTTTCACTATATTCATAACACATTATGAATTTTTACATTTGGGATTCTAACAAAGAGTAAAAAACTGTATAATGTATTTTCTCCCTCCTTATTAATTTCAAATCCATGAATTGGCTTCCTGTGGGAAATGTTGACTAAAGGTTAATTGCAAATCATGCGAAAGTTGTAACATTTCATTATGAACTTTATTACCTATTTTCAAACTTTCTTCATTTAAAAGGTATTTAAAGGTAGGAAAGTACCAAAAGTAAGGTAGGAAAGCAGTCAAATTTATTCTCTTCTAGCAAAGAAACCCAGAATATCATCTTTTGTTTGAAAGGAGCAATTTTATCCTTTATATTTAAAACTGAAAAGTTTCTTCCTTGCAATGATACATTTATTTCGTCACACTTAGAAAATACACCTCCTAAATAAGCAGCACTCATTAATTACGTAGGATTTGTTAAAAAATGCCTTGAAGTTTGCTCTAAATTGTTTAATCGAAATTAAATAATAACTCACTACGTCGTTCACACACTCTTGACAATGTTTTCCCTCTGGATACCCATCTTACTCAGTGCCCATAAAAGTGCAGTATGTTGGTTACCAATTTCACCGCCAACGTAAAATTTAAAATAATATGAACTGGAGTGATCGAGATTTTACATAGTTGATCTTTTTGCTGTTGTGTCCAAAACAGGACAAAAAAAGGCATTAAGGGCATTTTTAATTATCAGTACACGCAAGGCCCAATTTAAATAATTCGCGTCATATTTTCGCTTTGGCGCACTCTTCGATGACGTCTGCTTTTTGGATGGAACCTTACTTTCTCATTCGCCAATTATTTGGAGAAATAGTTGATCTTTTTTCTTTCAAAGTTTTGGTTTTAAAACAAAATTCCATGCTTTAGAACTAAAAGGGAGACGAATAAAAACCGGTATAAAGAAAAATACCAGAAATGGGCTCTTTCTATAATAATATTACATAAAAATGATTAAGTAACTTTGTTTAAAGAGCAGACAGGACAAAATAAGAAAAAAAAATTAAAGCTAAGCAGAAGAAATAGTACAGTAGCAAATTATAGAAAGTTTTATAAATTTAAATTTTACAATCATAATGATAATTTTTACTTATAATAGTCTTTAATGAATCACTAAAATAGGTAAATAAATACATTAATATACTAATTTTTAATAAATGTTTACATTTGCTTCTAAAAATAACATTCTTTGATGCAAACGTAAGAATGTACATAAACATATATCTAAACATGGACATGAATTTATAACAAGAATAGCCTGTATTGACTACCAACAATGGATAATGAAATATATTACTATGTTAATTAGTTAATAAATATTTATATTCGCTTACCAAAGAAATATTTTTTAAATGTTAATATCATTACATCAACCTGTATCTATAAATATACATGTTCATACAGTTCATGCATTTACATTTTAGTGGTTAATTTACTTGTAGATTAACGCATTAATGATAATTAATGACAAAATTCACAGTCTGTGCTGGGAAGTAGACAGACAAGGCCAATAGTTGAACTATTTTTAATCCTCGCTGCCTACTCCCCCCCCAAAAAAAGTCGGATTTCAGATAAAATTTATAGGTCTTTTACGGGCGGGTAGAGAAATCATCTCGAAATAATAAGTAAATTTTGGCTTCTCTGGTATGTCTCCATCGTGTATTTGCGGCTTAAGCAAATATCATTTATAGGATACCTCGACGGCATCATTCGAGTGTATGTGATCGAGGTGAGCAGCTGGATGACTAACAATGGAACAAATTATCGCTAAACTTAGGACAGCAATGGTGGACTCCGAAACTAATTTTTCGATTAAAGAAAAGGCTACTTATTTCATTGGAACATCTCTAAGCATGAACAGAAATAGTATAATAAACCAACATGATCAATACTGTTTTCCTTTTAAGTAAAAAAAAAAAAGCAGAAACGCTGCACTGGCATAATTGGCTGCAGATCTTGCAAATACTGCATATTCTATCCATGTATCTGTTGAAATCTTTTGCTATCGATTCAGTACTGTTACGTGATACATACGTAAAAAAGTGTGTAAGATGTATTTGGGTTATGATTACACTATGTCAAGCTAAACTATAATGGTATTGCGGTTCTCGTCAGTTGAACCATCCGATGTAAGGGCTGATGTTTTTGGACAAATCCCGACACACTCGCAGGAACGATATTAGACTATGTCAAATGAGTGGGAATATGTTGTCAGGGATGAAATGCCTATATATCATTAGCCTGATTGGCCAGGAAATCACAAGCTACGCACGCATCATGTGTCATATTAAGAGGCTGCTGTATGGTAAAAACTTTGCAGTGGAGTCTTTCATCGTGAAATGATATTATAAAGATCTTCTGCTAAGTTACGGAGAAACGATAACGAATCACCTGATAACTATCAAAGAGATTTCTTCATTTTATTGTCTTAGTTTTGTTTTTCGTGTTAATAAAGATAGTACGTGGCCTGTTACTATTGCTGTTCTTTAGCAGTTGTAAAGAAGCGTATATGGAAGCGTCACGAAACGTATTCATACAGTAATAAAAGACGTCAAATATCTAAATTTTCGAAGTTGCTCAATAATTTTAGAGTATCAATACCAAAATAAGCCATAGTTTAGAGATTAAGCGGCTGAAACTATAATTCGCTTTTCATACTCAACCTTAAAAACATAAATAAACTTTAAAAAAATAAGTCGCATCGAAACGTAAACAAAAAATCTTCTATGTAAAAACCATATGGGTAATTAAATTAAATATACATTAAATGAAATTATAATTTTCAGTTCGTCCATATATCGAGAAAAGAGCAGAGTAATTTACATATCTTATGGGAAAAGACGACAACTTATGATTTTCCTTAAAATATTGTTCATGTATGTAATATTGCAAGCTACGGGGGATATCGAAAAATTATTTAAGATGTATTCTCGATCATTTTACACGCACTGAATATTTGCATTGAGGCTCTGAAGTAAGACTATGCTACATAATTTCGGCTACTAAAGGTATGAGCATATGAATAAAATATTCACTTCCTGATTGAAGTCTGTGCATCAAACAATTATTTTAAAAAAAACTTCAGCTTCGTACTTAGCTTCGTATGCATTTCTTCTAAACAGGAAATCTTAAACGTTGAATGCGTATTTGAGATGCTGTTCGAATCGAATCGTAAAAAGGTTCTTTGTATTAAACTTTGTGAGTAATTATGCTCTTAAACAGCAATTATTTAAAGTTAAATGGCGTAGCTATTAAAATATATGTATGTTCTGATGAAAAGAAGAAACTTACATTTATGTTCTAAAATTCTTGGTATTCTTATTTAAGGACATGGTCAATTCATTTCGTTGGTTTCGTCATACAGCTTTAATGCATTTAGTGGCAACCAATTTAGCTATTTGGATACGAATTATGCTGTGGGAGAGTGCCAGGGACTGGCTTGATGCAATCCACTACAAGCACAATTCAAGCACAGAATGGTACCAAGCCAGCTTTAATATCAGCATGCATACATTGGAATCGGACACCAATTCTTTAGACACCGCTAAGCATAAACCATACCACAGGATTTATGGTAAGCTTTCTGTGTATTAAATATTTTCTCCCAATTATGATGCTAAGAATAAAATATTAATTAGATAAGCTTAGCATTATTTAATGAAAATGAGAATTTGTAGCTGAGGCCTTTTCTTCTTTCATCTAACAGAAACGTACATTTTATTATTGTAACCCGTGCAAAATACTTTCTTTTCGTTTGTAGTTTGCACTTGAAACAAATGGTTATCATAATAATCACATTTGAATATTTATAATTCGTTGATAACAGTAATAATTAAATTCAAAATAATTTCAATTAATCATTCCCAATTCATTCAAAAATAGCCTTGCTCCATGATAGTCCATGATTGTTTTGCTATTTCTCATTAAATTTCTACATCCAGATTAAGTAACTCAACTAATATCTTCACACTAAATGCGATCACCGGTAAATACAAAAAATGATAAATTACAATTAATAAATTCTTAGTATTTCTCGAAATATATCTCAGATCGATTAAACCAAAATAAAGCCCATACCGCTGCTACTAGATGTTTGACCTGGGTTCTATCCTAGACAAACTGCTGGTTGTATGGTTGATTTTCGTAGTTTTCTCCATGTGCAGCTGAATATGAGAACAGAAGCCAGTTTCCCTAAAAATTCCTCCAAGGAAGCATCCCTTTCCTTAGGCAGATAGCCCTTGCTTGCTATAACCGAATAACCTAACCTAACCAATAAATTAACCATTTGAACCGTGGTGTGCTGTCAAAGAAGACACAAATCCATTCAAAAAAATGTAAATAATAAATTAACTTTTATCTTTATAAAGCCTAGTTCTCATTTTCACCATATTTAGAGGCAGCGTGAAATTTTAAAGAATTTGCAAAAATTAATACTTCTTCTTCTTGAAATTCTAATACAATCTTCTTCTTCTTGAAGCTTGGCTTCCCTTTGGCGCCTTATGCTTCAACTCAAATGTAATGTTATTTACATCTTAAACCACAAGGACGCATTCCCTCCAATTCAGGGAAGAACGTCGGTCCGAAAACCAAACCCTTACGCTAATAGTACTTATGAATTCTTTAGGATGTATTTGATGACAAATTTTCCTAGGAAATAATATTTCCAAGGAAAGGTTTCTTATTACAATGATTTAAAAGATCAGCAAAGAGGTCAATATTGCTAATTTTCATCTTCTTGAGCATCTTCTCTAATGTTTCTGGCACTATCGTACTTTCTGCAGTGAATAACTGCATGTTCTATACTGTCAATCATATAACATGAGTCACAAAATGGTGATACCTGTGCAACAGTTGGTTCGTGTCCAACATTTGCAATCTTATTTTACTGATTACTACTCCCATTTTCCTATCGATGTTTAATCCTTTACTCCACTCACAATGAACTACTGGCTGGTGTAAGAAGTCCGCTAGCTGTCGACTTGCTCTTCCTTAATAGTATTCTCGATGAACCTACACGCATCCTCTGCTGAAAGATCCCCCGAGTTATTCATATTTCTTCTTTTCGCAACTTTATCCACTCTTTCGTTGAACCTTATACCCTTATGGCCAGGAACCCAGATGACTGTGAGGTGATGGAAAGTCTTAATCCGCTCGAAGAGCTTAAAAGGATGAAAGAGTTGGATCTCCTATGAACACAGCTCAACGCGCTGACTACAGATTTGCTATATGTAAGGATAGCAACCTTTTCGTTAGGATTCAGTTTCTCAAGAAGCTTACAAAGGGCCCAAGCCTCAGCTGAAAAGATGCAGCTTCTATTGTCTATGCACTGACTGACAATCACCGCGGTTCGATCTATTTTAATAATACATATATTGAGAGCCAAGCTAAATTCTAACAGTCGATCTGTCGATCAACAGAAACAAATATTATATTGTCAGCATGCTAGAAGGCCTCGTCAGATGTTGGATTAATGACTGGAAGTTTCGGTAAAATGTTATTTTCTATTAAAAAGTGATTTTTGTGCATGGATTTAAAAGGAGATTGGTAAACAGGAGAAATAAATTCTCCTTCAAGGAAGGTATGTTACCGTATAGTGGTGTGCTGGTTATGTGCTTGGTGTATATCCTTGAATTGACATGACTCCTTTTCCTTAAACATAACCTTTATTCGCACACACCATAACTTTAAACACAACTGAAATAACAGAAAGAATAACAAAACCACTAAACTAAAATTCAAAACATCCTATGCTCCAGCTAAGGGCGAAGTGAGTGGAGTTCACTTCCGCGCTAGCAGTTGTTACATAAACCACATGACGTGGATTGGCTGCGCACGCAGTCAAACGTCAGATTGCCACAATCCAAAAGGTATGAGATGAATACGGATGCAAATTATCATGCAGAATAACATCATGAGGCATCATATTCACTTAGGTATCTAAATAACTGAAATAAAAAATTGAAGCATTAAATGAGTTGACGTATTGCATAGTTACCTTTGGAAGCTCGGTAAGGGAAAAAAACATAAAATTTGGGAAAAAAAAGCTTCGGAATAACTTCCTCTAACAGCGTCTAATAGCGTCTTTGCCTTTACGACAACATAATATGCAAATAATGACGATGGAGTTGTATCCTTGTCATTACCATATAATCAGAGCGAAATCTGTCATGATTCTAAAACACATCACTGCGTGTAAGTCGGACAGCAGGACTCGATTTATCCACTTAATCAGTGTCTGAACTTATACCAATAGCGGCAATCACTTTCATCAAACTGAGAGCCATAACACGTAAGTGGCTTCGTTTTCCTCAGATTGACATTTTGTACGTATTTTTCTTACGATGATTAGCTGCATACTTTGCAGCCCGTAGACGCCATATTGTTTATTAATGCAGCCATGATACATTCTGTGAAGAATGATCTCTTTTACCTACAAAAGTAAACGTTTTCTCCATTAAACTTACATATTACCATACTGCATATATGTTTCTCGCATATCCCATCTTCTACATAAAACTGAAGTTGCAGTGGATGGTGCGTATAAAACAATTTATAATTATGCACTTCAGACGAATTTCAAAATCTCTTATTTGACCCACGGATGCGAAATGCAATAAGAAACTTTTTCAAGAAACACGTTTCTTCCAGATATATCAGGGAAAACCTCCAATAAGTTATAAGGTATTTCTTCCGCCTTCCCAGCGTGCATTCGTAGTGCAGTAGTTCTGCACGATGGGCCGGTATTCCAGAGGTCCGTGGTTCGATTCCCGGCGAAGGCGATTGCTCATTTTTCATCTTGCCTGCTTCCAAAAAATATCTAATGTCTCTACAACGTATACTGTAGAGAAATAGAACCTACATCTGATTTCGACCTATACGAAACAGAGCTTCCAGCATTATTTCTTCAGCTTCGTAAAATATTGTGAGTGCATATGCGAAATTTTTACAATTTGTGAGTACATTTCTCCCTAAGCTGAAGAGAGAGATCTGCCATCAAACTAGTTCTAGGAGGAATGCATTTATCGACGAAGTTTCTGAGTTTCACGTCCATAGGTCTGATAAGGCCATCAGTTATATTTTTCCACTTGTTTACGAACCTATAATTAGTTGTAACTTTTTTAACAATGTATTATAATCTCATTCGTAAGAAACAGAATGGATAATAAAAAATAAGTTATCCAACTGTTGTTTAAATTGAATTTGCATTGATAGAAAAATCTGGAATAACTGTAGGAAGAAATACTTTAAATTTATATTTGATTTTGGAATTTAACATCTAAATATTTCTATATTTAAATGTTTACTGATATTTTCTGATTATGCTCACCCCTATGAAGTCACCAACTCATTCGCTACTTTGTGAACTGGAAAAAAACATCTGCTGGGCTATCTTTACGGCTCATAGGTATTGGTTTGCTACTAAATAATACTAAAAGGAAGCATTTTATGAGAAAAAAATCTATAGAGTCAATATTTGCATTTTTGCAGACAGTGGATACTGTTTATCGAAATGATCGTTACATACAAAGATGTAAATTCACGTGAACTCAAACACGTACGTGGCGTAGATAATAATTATTGTCGTGTTTATACTCGAAAATATGCCAAAAACGGGGCATTTTATCGAAAATTAAGAACGAGGGTACAGATATTCCCCTTTTTACTTCTACAGTTCAATATTACCACAAAGTTAAAATTTTGAAATTTTATCTTCTATCAAATTAATCCCACTATTTTAACTTTTGAATGTCATCTTATCAGATTTCGGAAAGTATTTTTCAGGATCATTATAATTTTTTCACCCATAAGATATGCATAATAACAATCTAACTCCAAAAGCAAAATTACATTTTTATGCATCTTAGCTGCATTCCCTATCTTAAGTGATGCAACACGATTGCTGTGGGATGACTACTTCGTCGCAGTCTTGTTACTTTTTTTACTATAAATGCAAGCTGAGGAAAGTTTTCCAGCTTTTAATACGTTCGCTGGCAGAGTAGGTATACTAGACTTCATCAGTAGCCACTCTGTATCTGAAAAAGAAAAAAGAAAAACAAATTCATAGATTCTGACTCGTTGTCCCAAGTTGCATTTCCTAGCGTAACCGATTCTTGCTTTTCTTCATATATATCACTATTCGTACATTCACAGTCATCTGTGAGAGGGATAAATTCTTTTTCCCTCGGAGGACCTGAATTCACTCATACACACATCGTCTAAATATTTTCAAATTTTCTATCTGTTAACGGCCTTTAGTACACGCATCTTGCTCGTTTAGGACGATAAGGCCCCAGTAAACTGTCATTTACGTCGCTCATATAACGGGAAAATTTTTAAAGCAATTGCATAGAAAATGTAAAACTAAAAGTCTAATTTACAATATTTACTACCACGCCTATACGCCATCGCTTGATCGGCAGCGAATGTGTTAAAGGAAAAGAATACTTGTAGCATTTGGCTGAGATATTGACTATCCAGTATAACTTCACTTACGAAGGGCGCATCTTCTCATTTCAACCAATCAAGTCTAATTCTAGGTTAGTCTCTGTCAAATCACTTAGTCTCGTCGTTACGTAGAAATCATACATAACTGACAGCTAATGTCATCGCAGCCGTTTGTTCGAAGATAAGGAAGGTCTTCAAAGATTCGAAACTCATAGAAGGTCTCACCAGCAGCCGAGCGGTAAAGTCGCTGAACACTGATAGTTCGGGGCTCAAATCCCGGCGTTTTCATGGTTTTCCCCATGTGTGACGTGTATACGAGTTAGTTTTCCTTAGAAAGTTCTTCACGAAGGCATCCCTTCTTAGACAGATAGCCCTTGAGACTTTGCTATAATCAAATAAACCAAACCAATCGAAACTCGTAGAAGCTCAGGCCATTATAATAGCACACAGTTAAAAATAGAAGTCTTCGAGAAATAAGCGTTCCCTCTATCGTCTGGACGATCACTGCTCCAGTTAAGAAAGGCGCATTCGATCAGATCACGTAGTAAAAGCATTACCAGCGCATATTAGAAATCGAATCATGAAAATAAGGAAGCCAAAATACCGTAGCTCTTGGTGCAGAGAAAATGATGCATCATTCAGGTCCACCATAAAATATCCCAACACCACACAGCTACAAAAAGTTTTCATTATAAGAAAATGTTATTTAGATGAATGCATATCTCAAGATATTTGAGCTAATTATTCAAACTGGAATATTTGGCACCTTCTTCTACAGCTCATTGAACTAGGTATAGCATTCTTTGTTAAAAAATCAGTGAAAATAACTGATATTTATACTGATTAGTCACTTACTAGTAAGTACAACTGTTTTGATTTCATTGCTGAAATTGAGTAACTTCAAGAGAATTGTTCATTTTCTATTTTTATTTAAACATACAGTTGAATCACTGGTATCATATATATATAGAGAGAGATATTAGTAAATTAGACAAAGGTGCATTTTACAAAATTTACGAAAGAACTAACAAGTTTAAATTAGCGCCCAGTGCTGCTAAATTTTATAAATGAATTTTAAAAAGTTAGGATTAAAATACCTAAAAAAAGTCTTAAGAATACTTGAATACTGCACTAAATTTCATATATCTTTTATTACAGCACATTCTTTTTTTCTTTATTGTATTTGGTTGGTATTTCTCTGAAACTTTCTCACGTGAATGCGTATCAAATAGCAATGGCACTGATGCTTCAGTTAACGCTTTTTCATGCAGCCACTGTTTGACTGACATTAGGGATTTCAGGAGAGAAATATTCTCTCTCATGAAATCTCTGGGGTCAGTTCTTGCCGATATTTTTAGGCTGTGATCTCAGTATCCTTGCAAATATTTCTTATAAATGTTATGAGAAAATTATGAGAAGAGATGAATCATGGGAGGGATTTAAAAAAATACAGCGATTCATTTAACTAACACACCAGCAAAATAGACCTCTTTTAAAGCCAGGTGTTTCTAATTTTCCACGCGCTTTTTTAAAGATTATGCGATATTGCTTTCGAGCCTCTCTCTCACAGTGCTTCACTTACGGCAGGTCACTTTACATGATTTGACATGAAAACCTTACTATGTTAAAAGCAATAAATTTTTGTTGTTATGCACGCGCTGTAACAAACCTCGATATAATATACAGTATTACTATTTTAAGAAATAAGAAATTAAAAACTGCTCTTAGTTTTTTCTAACATTACATAATTTTTATCTTTAGTTTGAAAAATAACCAGTTTTAATTAATTAATCCCTTGACTTGTTTAAAACGTCCTGAAGGTAATATATTTTTTTCCCTCTTTTCTTAGTTACAAGTTATCCCCGTAAGTGTACTTGGGATACTGATCCAATAAAAGAAGATACCGAAGGACTTGTTGCATTTCATCTCTGTATGCAAAATTCAACAATAGGAGCAATATGGGAGAAAGCTATGCCTTATCTGTATCCATTCATTGTACAATATTGCTTAGTTGCTGCAGCTGTGATTTATATCACTTGGTCTAACCTCTACTCTCATCGAACGAAGCTGCAGCGTGTGACTGCAGTTTCTGTGTATGGCAAAGACACAAGTCAGGATGAAGTAAACTGCGGTGGGTCCACTAGAGGTTTATTTTTAGGACTGCTAGTTCTTGTAGCAGGTATAATTGCGATAATCCTATTCTTTGTTTTGGCTCAAGATAAGGATTTCAGCGTGCTTTTCATGATAGGAGTGCTAGAATGCGGTATTTTTGGCCTAGCAACTTTGGCTACTATAATTGGTCTTCTGCAGATCAGAAAAATGAAAAGTAAAACCTCAAAGCAACGGAGATTGTCAGATTTGCTTCAAAGAATTGGAATGCTGGCCGTATATGTGTATGGTATTTGCAACATGATTGTTGGTGGTACTATGATAAGTAGTCCGCAACATTTCTTGCTCTTTTTAGAAGGGACATTCATGGTTATTCATGCTTGTCTGCAGTCCCTTTTCATTCACCAAGTGTCGAAAAAACGATTAAGTCCTTTAAATGTTGATGAAAAACCTGGTCGTCAAGCAGTAATTTTTCTCGTTTTTTGTAACATAATACTTTGGATTCTGGAATCATTTACAACTCAAAAGCAAACAAGAAGTCAGCTACAGTTGCAGTTCTACGGTAATGTCGTTTGGCCAGTAATTTCAAGAATATTTTTGCCTTTTGTTATATTTTACAGATTTCATTCCGCAGTAGCTTTACTGGAAGCTTGGAGAAAATCATACAAAGTGAAGCAAAATTGAACTTCTTTGCTCTTCTCATGCCTTACTAGTTGATGCTTATTAGATAAATCTTAGAATAACATATTTTTTTCCTTTTCCATGTAAAGACATTATGAGTTTACGTTTCTTTAAGTTTTGAAATTAAAAAAATTAATTCATTTTTTTCATCACGATAATTTCAATGTTGCACAAAGTTTTATTGTACACAAATGTTGAATGTTTACGATTTTAATGCTGGAAGTTTTAAATAAAATATATTCATAAATAAATGGCACTTTCGGGGTTATTTGTCTTTTAATTATTCATTCATTTAAAATATTTAAAATGGTGGTGGTAGTAGAAATATGGCGGAAAGCTCTAGAGGCCATATGCGCCAAACGCAGGATTCGTTTTTCAACATATAAACTATAGCTTTTAAATAAAGAAAAGAAAAGGTTTAAAGACAACAGCACACTTTTAAAATCGAGGCAAGTATATTTAAAATGGAAGTGGGCTCTAACTTTGATTAAAAACATTATTGCTCATAATTACTTACATGACAATTTACAATTTATTTATCACATATATACAAATTTAAGAGTAGTTTTAATTTAAATCACTGCCAAAGTTCAATGGTTCATATAACAAAATGTTGCATTTAGTTAATTTATAAGAAAAGTTTACATTAAAATTTTATAAAAATAGGTATTTTGAATTTTGAAATATTACATAAATATGTATTTCGACTATAAATAGTTTATCATAGTTTTGCATATCGGATCTGGAAATATTACATAGTATGCATTTCGAGTACATAAGTATTATATACAGATATGCATTCTGTATATAAAGGATTATATAAATATGCATTTCGGATATAAAAAATATATTAAGCTATGCAGGTATTTTATTGAAAACGTGTTCAGATCATAGCAGAAAAGAGGTGATTCTATGACGCAAACATTAAAAAGGAACAAGAAGTTTTAATAGTTCATCGCAGTATTTAATATTTGCATGAAAATAATAAATACCTCAGAAATAAATTTTTTTATGTACATTTCTTTAACAAGTTTAAACATTCTTATGAATTATGCTGATATTTTAATACCAGGATTAATAGACTGCTTTAAACAGTCTATTAAACTTGCGTTTCAAATGATGATTTTTCAAATTTCAAATGAAATTATTTAAAAAAGTAATTTTAGAATTTTTCAAATGGAAAATTCTGGTATATTTTTTGTATGGTATGTCTTTGGTACTAAGATAGCATATAATACATAAAGACAATGGCCAGTGGCAGGCAAAACAGAGTAAATGTAATATACAATATAATTACTATTAATATAAAATTCATATTACAATATAATTGTTATTAATATTATAATATGAAAAAAGTGAAACGATGTAAATCTAAGGCAAAATATAATTACTTTTAATAACAATTATACATTATTAATACAAAATTCGTAATGTAGCTAATAAAAAAAAATCAGCCTAAATCTCCAGATCGTAAAAAACTCTTTTTAAATCGACGCTAAAACTAACACCGAATTTTACCTGATTTTAAAATGCAGCTGTTTCTCTTACAAATTTTAAACAAATCTCTTACGAATTAAAAGAGGAGAACATCTGAACTGTTCTAAGAGATATGTCAAAGAACGTGCATGGATTTTTTTTATGCGTTATCATATATGGAACATGCAAATAATGCGAGTTTGATGCATGCTGATGATTTTGATGCATGGATGAAACAAAAAAAAAATCATTTATTAATTTTCATTTGTAAAATAATATACGTATATATATAAACTGTATATATATATATCAAATCAAAACTGAAAAAAAAGTGACATCATAGATGCACATATACAAAACAGCATGAATAGTTAAAAAATCTTACAATGTTAAATGCAAAAATTTACATATTTGTAAAGACAAACAACACCGTGGTTAGGAATAGTTGTTTAAACGCATTGATATTATTACCTAACGTAACTCTTAAATGATATTCTTCCTCTAATCTATTTTATGTTATTTATTTATATATTTCGAATGAAAGTTTTGATTTACTTTGGTTTGAGCAACACAGAACTAGAGTATTCGAGCTCAAATAATCGCCCTAATTTCCATCTGGATTTTTTTCATAAAAGTAATTTTGACTTTCACCTTGAAAATTTCATGTATTTGCATCCTTGGTTACACGACTACAATGTAGTTTGGTGTTAAAACAGTAGTGTTAGGTCCAGAAAACAAAAAGACTCTAAAGTTACAAAAAGTAACCATTATAATGAAAGTACAATTTAAATCCCAAAGACGAAATACAATCTTTTTTCAAGTAGCAAAGTAGTCAAACTCAACTCATACATTTTATAAAATATCGATTTGATGCATTACATGCCTACCCGCTCTGTCTCTTTCTATAAATACAATATGGGCACGTATATTACAATGCTTATGAAAGACAAAAATAATTTCCAATAAAAAATGGTACTTAAATATTAACACAACCACGTTTGTGTAATTTGGCGGTTTTTTACAGATGAAAAGGAAAAAGTTACTTATCGGTTGCAAAATAGTGGTTTTCGCACCTTTTTTAGATTCCAGTACTATTTCCCAAAAAAAAGTTGGGGGAAAAAAAACTTGCAGATTTTCAACAGAAATAAATAAAAGGAAATTATATTCAGACAGCATAATGATCTCCTAATGCTATCAGACACATACGTATAGAATATGAGTCAGCTGTCTCCGTGGCTGGCATATTTTGTACTAGAGCAAATCACAATAAGGAGACTAGAGTGTGGACAAACTATGTATCTTGCTTGCCAAATTTTTAAGTAGTGTTGATAAATAAATATTCGTATGTGAAGATTTTTTCAATGTTTTCGAGGTAAAGACCTACGCATATCTCTAATAATTTATTAACATATTACAAATTGTTTCGGATTGCTTTTTACGTTTATGTAATATCATTTTATATGTTCAAAATACAGTTTTTTTTTTCATACATACTTTGTAATGCCAAATAAATCTCGAATAAAGCATCTATTTTTTGCTTAATTTACTCTTATATTTTTAATAAATGTTTCGGAATGAAATCTAATCAGTAAATTATTGGTAAAACGGTTTTAATCGCCAATTTTACAGAATTAAAGATAAGTGGAAAAAACTGGTAAATTTATACTACCTAATGTGAAAAAACAGCTATAAATCCTGCTCCCTAAGAACACTACACAAATTTAGGTTTATAATCGAAAATTTCAGTTAAGTTTAGTGATGAATAAGAACTTAAAAATTACTTTTACTAAGATTGCATAAAATATTTTTACAGAATATGCACAAATAATTAGATATAAAGAAGATATTCATTTACTTTTTTTATATAACGCTAATATACTAAGCATATGACACATGAACATCAACCATTTGAAAACAATAAATGGTTTCTAGTACTTTGTTTTAATAATTCTAATTTCACGAAAGCAGTTATTCAGCATAATGTCACATGAAAAAAGTAAAAGTATTAAAAGCGACTGCTCCGTACGAGCTTTCATACATGAATAAAAAGCAGCAGAGCTTAAAATATGAGTTAGTCCGCTCTATTCTAATGGGCACTTTGCTTTCTTCTAATTGGTAACGCATTCATTACTGAAAGCAGATAAAAACTTTTACGAGATAACGAAAGAATAAATAAAGTGAAATAAAAAGAAAGGTGAAATCTTTATTTACCATAAAATAGTAAAAGTACTGTAAAATGTATATGAACCAAAATAGCGTATCATTAAAATCTGCCGTAACATCCGTAAAAGTGACACGTAGAAACTATAGTAATAAAAATGAACAATGTGATGAAAATGATGTTTCATGTAAAGAGTATTTCGTATACAGTATTTCATAAAATAACCATATAATTAGTACTTTTATTCAAAATTAATTAAACAAAAAGGTTACTTTTTTACGTCTGTTTTCATGGTTTCAGTTTAGTATTAAAATATAAATTTACATACTTTAAACCAGGATATTGTTAATTATGAAAGAAATTAAAAGAAAAAAAAAGAGGAGCCTAAAAATTCTTACTGATTTTGCTCTAAACTTTAATTACTTCATAGAGATGTGACTAAATTAAGGCAGCTAAATCAGTCAGTGTGAATTGCCGTATTAGTTCTCTAAACTGGTTCCTGTATATAGTAAGACCATTAGGCTCGATTAAACCTCGACCAGATTAAACACTAAATAGATATCACTAGGTTTTTTTCCCGACCCTTAGAAAGTGCTAAATTTACGATGATTCGTTGTAACACGGTAGCCCTCCAACCCGAAAAAAGAGGTCTAAATTTACGTTGATTGATTACTCTTGGTATATCAAACGATTGAACTCTCAATATGGTGGGCGGGTGTGATACTGGTTACTACTAATGCCTTCCAAACTGCACACTACTATGAGCGCATAATGCAGCAGTCAGTGCTTTCATAAGGGATGTTAACTACTTAAAAGGATCTCCACTTTGATACTACAAGCATCGCTTATAAAAGACATGGGTATTTACTGCTATATAGATGCTATATAGCTTTATAGATGTTTGGAGTGATCAGTAAAGCGTCATTATGAAAACCAGAAGATCCTGGATTCGATCTTCACAGGTGGTATCAGCCAGACGAACACGCATTTCATAGCTGCCCTTTATTTGCAAACATCGCCATTAAAATAACTAAACCGGACCAAGGAAGCGGTTAGTTCACAATACCCATTACAGATGGCGCCACCAAACCGGAGAAGTCAAAAATCAATGAGCGGTAACAAAATCAAAACGACATCCGCCGCAATGTAAATGCTTTGTACCACATTTCTTTTTCAAAGCGAACTTATGATCCAGGTGAAAAATAAATTATAAAGATTTATATTTGAGTGTTAAGGTGTAATTTAATGCTTATTCATATTAGCAAATTTTCTTTCCGTGTTCAAGTTCAGCACTTATGTTTCAAGTAAAAATTTGTTGTCTTATACCTTTTTGTATATTGTTGAGCGACACAGAAGCAAATGCGTATTAATATACGTATTTGCTTCTGTGGGCATATGAAATTTTATATGAGGTTTCTTCTATTGCTTGTGCTAAAGAAAAAGGGCTGCCTATTAGCATGCTGCTAGGCCGGCTGCCATAACCTTGGGCCTGAGTTCGTATCCAGGAGAAGGCATGGATATTTGTAAGTTGTCTTTGAGGCATGTCAACACTTAAAAAAAACTGCCCAGCCGAAAGGCCTCTCAAAAGGTTTATGGTAGAAGAGGAGGCGTGAAAGC